ATATATATATATATATATATATATATATATATATATATATATATATATATATATATATAGTAGTTATATATTATACATAGTTTAGTTAGGGCATGATGCAACAAATATGGGGCACTCAGTAAGGATCAAACTCATAATTGTCTGCAACCCATTAAACCATAATGATGTGTTTATATGAGTACATGTATTCTTCTTCCATGTGTTGTGTCCTTTCAGGACATAGTCAATCATCGCTCTCCACAACTTCCTACCTCTTGCAACTTGAAGCAATGTTTGTCTTTTTACTATCCTTCCCAGTCCCTGTTCTACCATCCATTTACTCAAGCTAGTTAGATAGTTTGATCATGGCTCTCCACAACTTCCTATCTTTTCTAGCTCTTAGCAATTTTTGTCTTTTCACTATCCTTCCTAATCCCTGTTATGTCATCCATTTACACAAGATTGTTACGTGGGTTACTTCCTGTTTCCATATGTCCCTCTTGTTTTCACGAGGTCCTATGAATGTAATTTTTTCCCTTCTTTCCTCATTATGTTATTTTGACATTTTTAGGTTGATAACAAAAAGTTTTCCAGTATTTTGTTGACAATATTCTTTATCTGTACAATTTCATAACAGCTTTATTTTTCATAACAGTTTTATTTTTCCTCATTAAAGTATTGTACCTTGCTTTCTATGAATTATTTCATCTTTCAGATAAAGTGTACTCTTAACCATGAAAGAGCGATTCTGATTTTTAGTCAAAGTATCCTTAAAGGATCAGACAGCATTTCACATAACAAACAAGTGACAGCCTTCTGATAAATAAATGTTTTGGAAAGTCTGTTGGAGATGAAAAAAATCTTCTATCCTCACTATCAGCACTTTTTACCAAGTGTGCCAAGAAGTTGGACTGATATGGGGACCCCGGAATCTTTGAGACAGGGCCTCCCAATCTACTACATCTCAATTTTCATAAGGTAGTATTCAGATAAAATACAAATTTTATTGTAACCTAATCATCTACAATAATGGATCACATGTAATATAGGTGAACAATTCAACTAGAAAAACTGAAAATAAATACAGTGTATCTAAATACAGATTGGAGACATGTCATAATAGATTATTCTATCTTAAATAGATCGATGCTGTTTTGCAGCAATTTTTAACATTGACTTGAGATTTTTCTTTTTAAAAAGTTAATAATTTTAACACATTCAACATCATGGACAAAAATTAGTGAATTTTGTAAAATGCTTTTTGAGATTTTGCATAAGCAAAGCAAATTCACAGATTTGGACAAAAAAGCCAAACTCCAGAATGAACAGTTTTTATCCTTTAACACTAACAGTCAATTGGGCTAAATTTAATTTGTAATGTATATATGTAGGTAGAAAAACGAAAATGGATAAGATAGTGAGGGGGTCACAAAGCACTGCCTGGGGCCCCAATCAATCAATCATTCAAGGGTTTCAGGTTAGTATAGACTGGCCCTGCCCAATATCATAATTCCAAGGGTTAAAAATCAGTCTTGCATGTTCATTATGAAAAAATGTTAAATTAAAAGGGTTAAAAATCCACATCACAATTTGCAACACACAACTAGCTTCTTCAGTCACAAAGGGTTTTTACTGGGATGTGATTGTTCAAGACTGGTAGGGAAGTACAAACAATTATCACATTTCAAAACCTGACTAGAGTCAACTCAATCTTGGTTCTGATTTTCTTTTTTAACAGCACAGAGAACACAAATTCTTTTTTGAGGTAAGACTTGGTTTTCTCCTATGTCACCATATCTCAACATCCTTCTGTAGACCCTCATCTCTTTTGCCTCAAGTCCCCTCTTCATCTATGAGGAAGTTGTCCAGCATTCACTGCCATAAAGAAAAATTGATATTATATAGCAGTTCAGCATTTGAAAAAATTTAGGGTGTAGATAGTTCTTAAGGATGATACAATTCAGATTTGTTAAGCTATCAAACAACTTTTATGTACCATGGTTGATCATTGCTCTCCACATATAATTCAGAATGTGGAATTAATAAATACTGAACCTTTCAAATATATGAATCAGTTATAACAAACTTGGTATGGAAGATAAGGAAAGTGAACATCAAATGGGATGTGCAAAGTGTAGTTCAGTTGATAAATTTGTTTTTTAAGCCCCACGCTAAATACCTATTAAATTTTTCCCAAATTGTCATATTTCCATGTAAATGAACATGCTGAACTTGAATTAACAATTAAACTATGATAAAACCTACTGTTTTGGAGTTATCAACAAGAAAAAATCAAACTATATGTTTATGAACTCAGCCAGTGGCGCTATAATCTGGTGCCATGTTAGACCAGGTCACTTGAGAAGCAATTTTTCACACACACACACATACATATATATATATATCACACATACACTATGAAAAAATACTTGCACCAATACAAAGTGCATATAAAAAAGAAAAATCGAGAAGTATATGCAGTCACATACCCTGATGAGTGGACAGATGGGTCTATCTATGAAACTCTGGAGTTGGGATGCTGAAGTTAGCATCAATCAGCTTAATGACAAAACTTTTACTCGTATTAATTATACATACATACATACATACATATATATTGTTACGTGTTGATAAATGTAACAAAGAAAAAAAAATTATTTACCACAACACAGAGCTAAATCACAAACAAATATTTAATTTACTAAAACAGAACATAAAATATATACAAGATAAACAATTGTGGCCTACAAAACAGAAAACAGAGTTACTGGCAAGTGTTACGAGGGAGAAGGAAATGGAGTCAAATATCTTTTAAATCACTTTATGGCTAGTGAAGTAATCTAAGTGCTATATTTGGAAATCCACAAAGGTGTGTAAATAAATATTAATTTTAGTTTGGTCAATGAAAATTAGTCAAAATGCTATTTACCAACTTTGTTCCATGAAATTCTCTTTTGGGTTTTTGGTTGGTCGGCAACTTTTTATAGAGATTCTTTCGGCTGGATATAATAGTCCTTGAATCAAAAGCCGGAGTTGATACTGACAGCAATCTGTTTTCACCAACTGACAACCCTTTTCCAAAATCCCATTTTTATAGGGGCTAACACCTAATTTGCATTTTTCTAGATGTTTCTCGAATCATCTAGATTTTTCTCGAATATACTAGAATGATCTAGAATCTTCCAAACATTCTATTTCTAATTTCACTATTTTACAACTACTTCATGAATGAAAACTTTTTTGTAATAACAAGTAGAACTCAAAGGAATCCCTTTTTATAGAAATGCATCCTCGTAACAATATATATATATATATATATATATATATATATATATATATATATATGCAAAGAGGATGCAATGGGTAAATTGTAGTTATTTTATATTTTTTGTTTCATGCGTGCATGTTGTTTGTTATGGATTTTGTTGATTGCACAGTATAGTAGGGTCAGTTGGGCACCGTTTGTGAGGATAAAAGCACCATGACATAATTCACTCCGCCAGAAATTTGACGTGCTGTACTGCTTGGCATTCATACCAGAAGCTCCAATTCTGAACATTTCAGAGTATTGGGTGTCAATCTGAGGACAGTGCAAAGGATTTGGAAAGAATTAGATGATATATTGTTGGTGTTTTGGGTATTCGCTAGTGATGTCGATATTATACCTCCATTCATCTTCCCCCAGGGCCTCAGACTCAATGCAGAGGCCTGCATTGAGTACCTTGCGGAGGTAGTGCCATCCTAGGTTAAAGGGTGGCTGCTATGTCTGGCAACAGGATTCTGCACCATGCCACACAAGCAGGAGAACCCAGTCATTGCTGTCAGACAAATTCTGTAACAAGATCACCTCTTAAAACTGGCCACCTAATTCCCCAGACTGCAACCACCTTGATTATCATGGGTGGAGCACAGTTGAGTGAAGGACCAACAAAACTACTTATAACACCAAATATGAACTGAAGGCAAGGATTATGGCAGTATTCACCAACTTAAACAAGGAAACCGTTCAGAAGAGTTGCAAGAGATTCCAAAGTCAACTGGATGCCATGGTTGAAGCCAATGACGATTTTATTGAATAAATTTACTCTTTATTATTTCAAGATATTTTTATGCAACTTTGGTAAATATATCCGTGTTATTCTTATTTTTGCTTAATTTACATGACAATTTAGCCATTGCACCTTGTATATATACGCTCCCATAAAATTTAATTCTGGTCAAGCACTTTTTAGGGAAAGTGCAAGTTTGTAAACAATGACTGCTACTACTGCTAATACTGCAAAGCTCTTCTAGGAATTGAGCACTGTCGGTCATTGGTGTGTTTATTTGATGAATGGTTACATAAAAATTAGCCATCCTCTTTAACAGGCACTGATAGCTCAGGGGTAAAATCTCCAACTGATGCCAAGTCAGTCGGGTTTTGATCCCACCTTGAAGCAATTGGATGTCTAGCCACACTGATGAGCTGTGATACAGTGAAACAGTCTGTCTGTATATATATATAAAACACATTAATGCAAAAATGGAAAAGTATTTTATATAACAAATATATTAATTTTCAGTGTCATCATCTCCCTTCTTAGTGCACTTAACCTAACACTTCTCTGCATAAAAATTATAGGCTGAAAGTTTGATATAAAAATTTCAGTTAATTACTGTGTCAAGCTATGAACTTACTAATTCAACCTATCATGTAATTAGAGAGAATCCCACAAATATCTATTTTTAAAATCCTTATTGATAGATTCAAGATAATCTTACCAGACTGACATATATAAAATGATGGTGCTTAAAATGGCTTCACAAACTAGCAATTGCTTCCATCTCCAGCACCTGGATGCCACTTCATTTATTATATAGATTGAATATTATACAGAGAAAATTTCAGATCAAAATTACAGAGTAAAAAAGTATTTGTGGGATGAAGAAGCTGTTCAAGTGGAACTTATATCTCACCAATAACAAACCCAACTTGTCTTGGAATTCAGCTCTCAGATCTTCAATACCAGTCCGTTATTCATTACACCACCTGGTTATCTCAAGTGGTCAACCATCTAAGTACTGACCAGGCTTAACATTGCTTAACTTTGGTGATTGTATAAGAACTGGTGTTTCAACATGTTATGAGTGTAAGACAGACATGTTAAAGAATTCATAAAACAAAGACAAGTAATATAATAATTACGTCCTTCACAAACAAGAGAAACCTTTAAACGTCAGGATCATATTCTTCCAAAGAACTAAAGCTGATTATATGTGTATCTTTCTACTAGTATCAGCATTCTGCTTGCTCAGACCTAACACATACAAAACAAGTTTTCTTTCCACTGACCTGGAAATTCTTTGATAAAAATGTTAATTTAATTCATTAAATCTAATTATCATTTTTTTTTTTTAAAAATTTGAAATACAGCAAATAATATCTAAACCTCAGGTAATTTTTTTCAAAAATGGAAAAATATAATTCACTGAAAGGAATAATATCTCAGCTTTTTTTATATATATATATATATATATATATATATATATATATGTGTGTGTGTGTGTGTGTGTGTATATATATATAAGTATATATATGTGTGTGTGTGTGTGCATATATATAGGTATATATACGTGTATTTATATGTATGTGAATATATATATATATACACACTCTTAGATGAAAAAAAATGTAACATACACATACATAAATTCTATATATATAGATGCAGTCATAGATAAAAACATATATATATATACACACATTCCTAAATGAAAAAACATACATACATAAATTATATATATATATATATATATATATATATATATATATATATATATATATATATTTACTTCTAATTAAATCATTGGGTGACAATAGTAGCACAGTGACCGGGCATTCCCATTCAAAATCTAAGTGGTATCGTCTGATCAGTTGCCTTGAAAACATTGAATTTAGCCAGACAGAAATAGAATGGAATTGATATTATCTAATTAATATCAAATATAGATTTCAGGATTTTGAAACTTTTTTGGCAAACTTTCAAAATGAAAATGAAAAAAAACAAGAAATGTAATCATCATTGCAATATACTGTACAGCATTTATAATGTATGTATATGTATACATTGTAGGCATGAAGGTTTTATATGCACATACATATGTACATGAATCAAGCTGCAAACTAAACATGAATAAAGCATTTGCATGACAAATATTTACTTTTCTATATAATTACCTTCTTTGTCAATGCACTTAATTCAGTAGTGAATATAAATTATTTAAGGAAAATTTCAAATTAAAAACCAGGTAAACATGAATCAGTCTATGAGCCTTTGGGTTGGTGGATTCTATTACGTATCATACTTTGGTTATTTAATATTGAAATGTATTTTTTTTTTTTTTTATTAAATTTGGGTCCATAGGCAAACATTGATGGAGCTTATAGTTGATTCCACATGTAAACATTGGTTGGGTTTATGCTTGAATCTATCAGTAAATATTTGTCAGGATTGCACTTGAGTTTAAGGTAAACATTATGCTTATACTTAAGACTATCGGCAAAGATTGGTGAGGTTTACTCTTGAGTTTGTATTTATCCACCTGGAAGGTAGCCTCTTTTGTAAGTAGGTTCTTAGCCCTTTGCAAAAGATACAGTTGGCATATTCTCAACTCCACTGACAGTGCAACAGGATTTATTAGCCCATTCACATACATGCATATATATAAAATCACACATAAATTATACATATAAATGCTGCTTTACAACTCAAATGCATGTGAAGCCTGCTTAACCAATGAAAATCAAACAACACAAAAATAAATATACTCGAATTTCTTTTTGCTCCTTATCTCCTTTTCTGATGAAGCTTTAATAAAAGCAAAACATGTTAGACTGATAAATGTTTCCTATTTGTTCTTTATCCCATCATATATATATATATATATATATATATACACACACATAAGTATATTTGCTTTGAAATGGACACCCCAGCCGTGCCTTGGCTTGGCCTCTGTCTAGAGGTGACTGATATGTTGATATAAATTATTAACTCTTACGGCTCTTATTGAAATGGTTGCTTCAGCCCTTTCCATAGAAATTAATTTTACGAATGTACATGTTTATAAAGATGCGTAAATTTCAAGATTAGTTATTCCTAAATTTTTGCTTGAGGATGAAACAGAGCTTGATACTTTAATTCAATTTAATTTTAATAATTATGTTGAAGTTTTTGGCTCTTGTTTTTGAAACATGAGAACTCTTATGTAGTGAAGGAATCATTTTTTAAAAAATAATTATAATATATGTACACATATATACATTAACAATGAATCTAATCATCCACCTTCTATTTTAAAGAATTTGCATAAATCTATCCAATTTAGATCATCTACTAACTCCAGCAATAAGGAAATATTTGATAATAATAAAATTAAATATATAGAAGCATTAGAACATAATGTAAATATAGAATATTTAGAAGAAAAAAAACAAAAATGGTAAAAATCAACAGAGACACTGTAATGTGTTATGGTTTAACCCCCTACTTTATTATCGTAATGTTCAAACAAATATTGGAAAAAGTTTTCCTAAATTTAAATTTGGGAAAATACCTAAAATACCTTACAACCATTCAACTAAAATACAACTAAATACAAACTAAAATACCTTACAACCATTCTGCAATGAAACTACAATTTTACAACTAAAATACCTTACAACCATTCTGCAATATTAAAGATTTTTAACAAAAATAATGTAAAGATTAGCTACAGCTGCATTAGAAACATCAAAAAATCGACATCCTATCATAACATTTTTATATCAAATAACAATACCACAAGTAAAAATAACATTAATGAATTTACAAAAAATAAATGCAACTGCCAAAAAGATACAATCTGTCCCTTAAATGGCCAATTGAAAATATTGTATACCAAACTAGAATACATTCTGGTTGAGATGTAAAATTTTATATTGGGCCCACTGAACATTTTTGGAAACTCTGTTTTTGTTGTAGAGTGATTTCACAGTGGAGGCTTGTATTTGTACTAATTCAGTCCTAAAATAGGTTCGACGTACAAAACGTTAGGAACTCAATATAATATGTAATGACACAGTAATCTAATTGTGGTGGCTGATACTTTAATATCCGACTAACGGTCGTCCGATATCGACTGACTGACCAACTCCCTGAGCGACTCCTACTACTCCTACTTATTATAGATGGGAGAGTCTATTAACTATAGAATAGGTGTGTTCCACTATAACAGTTTTTATCATCATTGAATGATTTTAGATAATGTAAGATACATGAATAGCACAACTCTCTCCTAACATTTTGGGGGTATCAAAAAATAGATTTAATACACACATAATTACGTGGGATATTATAGCTAAAACAAAATCATACAATGGGAAAGGTGATAGATGTAATTTATGCCTTTTTGAAAAATTAGTTATCTTAAAACACTTAAATAACCCTAACTTATTAAACAAGCGAAATGAATTGATGGTCAAATGTTGGCATAAAAATTTATACCTGCTGAAATATGTTGATTCAGATTCATTTCTACTGTAGGTTATATCCTTTCCTTTTTTAATTTTCTTCTGTTTACTTATCTTATGTCAAGAGTATATAATTTTATTTTATAGTTATAGGTACATTTATTTTAAAAAAATCTTTTTAAAAAAACATTAATCCCCCTTTGTTTTAAATATAAAATATAAACCCCACCTATTTTATATACAAAAGTTGTATTTTTTAATAAAAATCAGTAATTCCTGTATAATATATGGACTGCATCAACATTGAGTTTACCAGATATTTCTATAAGAATTTAAATTATGTAATGGTCAGTCTTTACTGAGCACCTGAAGCAATAATTCTTTCAAATATGTTGGGTGAATAGTACTAACAAGTTCTGTCTATGAAATTTTTTATTAATCTTTTCAAATTCATATTAAATGTTAATACAATAAAAGAGAAGCAGCCAACATTAATTCAGGTATCTTTCTCCATCGGGGATTGTATATTGAAGTGTATTCAAAAAGTAATACACATAAAAATTCCTGTTCGACCATTTAAATGACATCACCTTCAGTGACATGAAATTATTTGCAGCAAACATAACATTACCAGAATGAGCCAAAAACAGTTGCATAAACATACACAAAACACAATGCTTGAAAACAAATGTAGCAACACTGGAACGTACTCAGAGAAAAAAATAATATAAAATTAGAATAAATATGAAATTTGGGAAATGCATTGATTACATAAAAGAACTAATTTGGAAATTTGAAAAAGTTAAAAAAAAATCTGACAGAACTCATATATATATATATATATATATGAAGAAATATAGCCTTAAGATGTGCTATATTTATGGAATAAAGTGCTCAATATGAGAGATAGAGCGTGTGTAAATATAAAAGTGAACATAGAAGTCAACACTTAGAGTTGACAGTCTGTTTCATACTATATGCAATCATCAGGCCTGACAATTGCATATAGCATGAAACAGACTGTCGCCTCTAAGTGTTGACTTCTATATTCACTTTTATATTTATATATATATATATATATATGTGTGTGTGTGTGTGTGTGTGTGTGTGTGTGTATGTTGGGGAACATATACTTGGGAATGAACATTAATCTGTTCTCTGTAAGAAAGAAACAAATATTGCAGCCACAAGACAGACATGTATAAATGGATAAGTATATCAGTAATTTACAAGCTATTAAGAAAAACATTTATTTCATATAGTACCCATTCAATACCTGTCACTTTACTGACAGGCAAGATGATCAAATTTCAAATCTAAATTGCTTGTCCATTTATAACATTAATTTTATTAGAAAATACATTCAGTTTAAATACAGTAGTTAAAAATTAACTTCAAACTACTGTACATGTTGGCTTATACTTTGTTCTTGTTATTCAGTGATTACTGCCAGACGAAAAGGGAAATTAGCTCTCTCAACAATGATGTCTATTTCATTTTCATTCAAATTGTATGCCTATGTCCATTTGCATATACACATGTATATTTTAATTCAATACCTAGAAATATTTCCATTAAACTGTAAATATAATTCTACTGAATAAATTTCAGTAAAACTTTGTAATTATCTAATTTAT